AAACAAAATACATTAGTCTTTTCATATCATTTTGCATACCCTTTTTTTTAATTATTTTAAAGCATCTGTGATTATTCGTTGTTTGATCCAAAACATTATATATATCACAGATTTTTATTTAAATTTTTATTCATACACACACATAATTAGGTGTAATCAAGCTTAATATTTCAATTAAGATCACTCATTTAGAGCTTGAGGTGTAATCAGGGAAGGCCATTATGTTCACCATTCATTCATGTGAACAAAATAGGCCAGTAAAATTGTTAAAGATGAGCACACACTAATCAGATAGTTAAGCGCTTGATGGTAAATGTGATGCCAAATATTCTGTATCTGAAAGAAATGCAGTCCATTTTTATCTTTCACAACACTAAAGCATTGTGGTCTAATTAAGACAGGTTTTCCTTTTTTTTTTTTTTTTTTTTTTGTTTTAACTTAGAAAATGACACTTATGGTAGTTAGTGATTTAGCTTAAATTTTTTTAAAGTAATTGGCTAAATGTAAGCAAGATTTGTTAAACTTTCTGTTGAATTTTGAAATATTACTTTATAAATCAAGATTGTATTTTGACTTAATGACTTGTTTTAAACATCATCCTGTTTTTATTTTAGTTCATGTTGATATCCTATGTACTTACACTTGGTTGGCTGGCACTTATGGCTGTGGGAATGGTATCTGTCACAGTGTATGCTTCAGTGGATTCCATTTGCACCAATGAAATTTATGGCAAGAGAGCAGAAGAGCTTGTGACCTACTGTTTTAACCTTACCAGATTTGGTAGGTATTTAAATCTGAATTGAAAAAACTCAAGTATAGAAAATATTGTGCAATAATCTTCATTTCTGAAGGAAATTTAGAATTAAAATTTTAGGTCTATCTCTTGACTGTGCATGTCAGCATTATTTGGGTTTTAGCTAGCTGGACATGTTTAAAAGAATGTAATTATTTTTTTTATTGATGATTAATATAATATATACAGGGTGTCCGCGGCCTCCTGAAATTCAAGGATGTCCTTGAATCTCCTGGAATTTCAGAAAAAAAAAGTTCTGGAAATCTCCTGGAATTTAAAAATATCTCCTTGAATGTCCTGGAATTTCGGCGATTGAAAAAAAAAAAGGTATTTAAAAAATTCAGCACCGTTGCTGCGAATGGGCCGTCGCGGCGGAAATAGATTTGAAATGAGCATTTCCGAGTTTGCGCAGAATGTGTATACTGCTCCTTGACAATAGATAGATCTTATCTATTTATAGATTAGTATCGTTATGGGATTGCTTTTTCACTGAGCACGTTGATTTTCATCCAAACTACGTTCCATAACTTTTTACGGGCTGGCTGTGTCAATAAGCTGACCAATGACGAGTCTACACCGCCTTTCACCCACTTGTGAAGCATGTTCTCGTGATTGAAGATGGCCTTGGCTAAAAGCAAGGGCATTTCACCTGGCATTATAATGATTATTTTTCTGAAGGGCTCTTCCTCACCTAAAATCTTGTTGTAACAGTGATTTTGCATAAATCATCTAGACTCTAGCTAGAAATAGTATCTAGATTTAGATCTAGTGAAGATAATTCACACCTAACTTGAAAACTTCGTGAATTTTAGTCAATTTAACGATTTTGATACATCTAATGTCTAGATTATTCTAGAAATACGCTAGATTCTAGATTTACGCCAAACCACTAGCTCTAGAATGTAGTGAAGCCTAGAAAAACTCGCAAATTTTAGTGACTTAAATTAGATCTAGAGTCTGGATTTACAGTAGATTCGGTGAAGATAATTCTTACATAGCTGTGAAAAGTCCGCGACTATTAGTGACTTAGATCTAGAGTCTAGATTTACAGTAGATTATGGGAAGATAATTGTCACACAGCCGCGAAAAAATGCGGATTTAGTGACTTAGATCTAGAGTCTAAATTTACAGTAGATAGGTGAAGATAATTCTCACACAGCCGCGAAAAGTCGCAAATTTTGTTTATGAGGAGGATTTAAGCACAGTTAATAAAACATTAGGCCTACATACACATAGGAACTAAAAATGTAGCCTACATTTCCACCACAGAGAAGGCAACTCTCTCTTATTTTTAAAAAAATGGAATAGCAAACATTTGTAATGTTCTTTAATAAATCTTTGAAAAGAAAAATGTTTCTTTGAGGTTTTGGGATGACAGTCAAGTTGTTACTAGATTAAAAGATAACTTACATATATATATATATATATATATATATATATGTATGTATATATACATACATATATATATATATATATATATATACACACATAATAAGGCTTCTCTTCGAGTCCGAAGATTAATGAGCAATAATAATAATCAGCTTTGACAATTGTTATGTAATATTTTTGCGCGAATTTTATGTCCTGGAATTTTAAAATTTCTCCTGGAAAAGTCCTGGAAAACTCCTTGAATTTCATATTGACTTTGGTGCAGAAACCCTGTATATATTGCATTTAAAGAGGGTAGCACTTTTTTTGTTGTACATAAAGAAAATGATATGTTAAACAATATGAGAATCTGTTTGATATCTATATATTGTATATTTTGGTATTTGATAATTTTTTAACACACTGCCATTTGCTATCTCACCTTTTATCAGGTGTATACAGAGAAGAACGAAATTCCGACAGTGTTTGTGACTATGCTAATCTCAGGGCTCTGTGCAATAAGGTATATCATACAATTTTTAATTTTTTTGTGCTTACCTTCTAAGAAACTTAAAAGTTGGAAATCAAATTGCCTACATAGATAGTAGCTTAAAAGATAAAAATAGAATTCTGGTTTTGTGTTCTTATTCTTTTTAATGTGAGAATAATCTATTGCGGCTCTTCTTTTTTATATCTGTATTGAAAAGTGAGTTGTCAGATGCCCTGATGGGCAGACAACATTCTTTGATGCATTGTCTGGCGCTGTCCCACTCATTTGTAAGTCTTTTTCATATGTTACTGTCCAGGAGATCATGGATGGTCCCAGCCATTATTGTTTATACATTTGAGACTATGTTTGGCGGTTGTTGTATTACAATGTGGCGTTAACTTCTCAGGCAAAAGAGGTTATTTTACCAGGTTACAATTTACAAAATCATTAAGAATATCAAAATAATATTAAAATCATTTGGAAGCAGTTTTCTATACTATTCATTAATGGATTACTATTACATTGTCTGCTTTAAATGCTGTTCAGGTGATGTTCCACTATCATATACTAACAACTGTATTTAGAACCAGATTACTACTGTTGTTTCAGTTTAAATAACTATTTAAATAAAAAGAATTCTACAAAAGTACAAGTGGCAAGTTTGTATCATGGACAGATGCGTTAATTTATTGTCATTTATTCTATTCATTGCCCCCTTTTCCATAATAAGAAAGAAAACACTTCTAGCCTTTAAGTTAATGTTCATCACACATGGAGCTTATCTTTAAATCAGCAACATCTTCAAACTGTTGTAATGTCTTTCAGTTGGTGCAATAATGCAGTTAATTATGATATTTAGTCATTTTTCAGTTATTGCTTCAGCTTATTTTTTTTAAATAAATTGACTAAGAGTAGACATTTCTTTATTAATCCCTGGCATAGAGAGAAAAAAAAAGTTTTTTTTATCATTTTGCTTAGTGGAATAGATTTTTATGTTTTTTAGTAAGAATTTGTTTAAAAAGCTTACCTTGTCAATCGTCTCTGTAGGTGACAGAAGCAGGACCTCTTTTCTGCGTAGCTTTTGGTGCTACTGTACTTGTTGTTGTTGGAATGGTAAATATTCTTTTTTTAGTATTATACATTTTATATTCAACTTTCCAAATAGTTTTATGAATGTAATAATATAAAAAATAAGATGATTTTATGATGGTCATGTTTTCCCCCCAGGTTCACTTTCTCATAACACTGGCAGCCAACTATACTCGCATCAAAATCTCCAGAGAGCTTACAGAATATAGAGATGCTGTTGAAATGGAAGAGTTGGAGCTGCATTCAACAGAGAAGAAAGATCCACCTCCTTACAGAGATGCTAGTGACTCCTAGTACTGTTTCCAATCTCATGTTTAATTAGGAAACATAGTGTAAAAAAAAATAGTTGTAGATTCATCACATTTGTATATAAGTTTTCTGTTCCAACAACTCCCAGCCAATTAGTTTTATTTCATGACGGCAACTGATTCTTAGCACAGAGTTCAGTTATACAGAATAATCAATTACAGTTGTTTTTTTAATAGAAATCTCATGTCTTTCTTTGTCCATACTGAAAGATTGATAAACATTTTCTTTAAAAATTTGAGGTCTATGGGGCAGGTGTTTATTAAAACGTTCAACACTAATACTGGACACAAAAAGTATTTGAACTCTTGCTATTTAAATATTATGTTTCTGTCCATTGGTGTTGTTTTTTAAAAATGTATATAGTGTAAATTTTTAGGGGCATGTGACCTTGTTAATGAACCAGGCTTCCAAACTGAAAGTTTGAGATTAAGTCCTTGTAGAGTTGGGGTTTTAATTTCAGATTTGATCTCAAGTACAATCCATTCTTTTCAAACGTACACAACGTATGTTGTAAAACTGTAAAGGATGTAGCTCTTTGTTTTGATCCTGGACATTTTATCAAACTGTTGCCACAAAAATGAACTTCCTTTGCATCATCTCCCCTTCGACTCCAAGGGAAACGACTTTTAATTGTACTACAGCAAGAAAAGGAAATGGGGTTCTAGCTTTGCATTTTTTTTTTTAAACTATGCTCATTTTGTATATAATTTAAATATTTGGCTAATGAGGATTTTTTTTTGTTGCCAGCTTAAGCTCCTGCAATATGTACATCTAATTTTGTAAACAGTGTATCATTTTATGTGCTCAACATGTCCTTTTTTGTGTCTACATTGTAATGTCTTAATCAGAATCTTATTCGCTAGCATTTGTGTGAACAAAGACATTTATAAGCAAAAAGAATCAATGTTAAATATTTACCCCCCCCCCCCCTTTTTTTTTTTCATCTGATAAAAAAAGTAATATATATATATTTTGTAATATTTTTGTATTATACATTTTCTGTTTGACTTTGTAGGTTGTTGTTTTTTTATGCCCCTGTTGTAATTTTTTTTTAAATCTACTATATTTCTCTATCAATGTTCATACTTACATGTATTTTCTACTAAATATAAAATCTTATCCTCTGATAATTAAAAATATTTTCTTTGAAGCAACAATTTACATTCCATATTTTATTCCTATATATGCCTAATTTGCGAAGCTTTCAAAAATGGTATACACTGATGTACTTTTTTTTGTAGAAAGATACATTTTTAATATTACAATTTCTATGTTTTTGAAAATTTAGCATTCCATTCTTTCTGTGATTTATCTCATCTAATTTAATACATAATCACCTTTTTGTGTATATCTGTCAACGTCAAAAAGTTTTTAGAAAATCATTTTATAAACAGCTAAATCTGTCACCACGCTTCATGTTCAATATTGTACTCATCCTTAATCTTTTGGATTCAAAGACCATACCCTATAATTAGTTCAATCATGATTTATTTTTGATTGAAGTATTCCCATGAGATTTTGAGCTTGAATACTAAATCCAGTGAGTTGTATAAGCTTTAAACTGTACCATGTTTCTATGAACTGTTTTAATCTTTTGTGAGCATCTTTGAAGTCTTAGAATGTAATAACAGCTGTAAGTGTTTTGTTAATTTTATAACATCCAAGAGTCAATGAACAGCAGTGACAGTAACAGTGCTATCACTAAACAGTTTAGAAACACGTGAAACACCTTTGTTACTTATGATCAGCTCGTACCGGAGGTCTTTCTGTACAATGTACATTACAGTTTGTTGACTCAGTTATTCTGGAAAACTAATAAATTAACAGATGTTAAGTTTTTAATTAACCAGAGGGGTTAAATTAACTTAGGCTATTCACAGAATGTTATAATCTTGTTTGTTACATTTAAAATATTAAAACTGCATTGCTAGATGTCCATAAAAAGTCATTTCAATTTTTCAGAATTGTTTAAACATTTTTTCCTTATATACAATATACCATATATCTTGGATTTTTGTATATATTTTTTGTGTGTAAATATCTAATTATCATTTTGATGTATATGTCCTTGATCAAAAAGTCCCCATTTTAGTTTATATTGGCTAGTATGACATGGGGCATTGTTTGATCTGTGTTTATCTGAGCTAGATCGAGTTGTTTGTTACCATGCTTCTCATTGCTCAAATATTTTCATCTCATTCTTGTCAAGTATTGCCTGTGTCAGCACTTCTTCCATCTTTAGTTTAGCACTAATTTTTGTTTTACAGTTCATGTTCAATAACTATTTGGTCCTTTTCATATCACTGATAACTTGTGATCCTATGAAACATTCCAAATGTACTTTACTTTTACCAAGCACTCTACACATTTATTTAGGGACATGGTTTTTATTTACAGTTTTATCTTTTTGATCTATTTTACATGCTAGAGTATTTTTGTAATTCCTGTCTTGCCTTGGAATAAGGTTGTGTGCCTTTTGACTTTTTTTTTTGTCAATGCTCTATACTTAAAAAAAAATTGAAATGTATGTGTATTAAATGATTAAATTATTGTTGTGAAATTTGTACTCCTTGTTTTTAATATTTTGGGTGTATCCCAGGCTATGGGGACATTTCCCTCAACAACAATTGATAACTTATGCAGTTTTAAAATAAACGAGTTGTCTGCCAGACCTTTGTATAAAACTAAAATCAAAATATAATTTGTCATCCTAACTACCCATTATCATCTCTCAATAACAACTAAGAACAGGACACACACCTTTAAATTATCGTCTTAACCAACCGATTGTACACCCTGCGCCCACCCTTAGGAAACCGTGAATCAAATCCTATTTGAATGCATTTTCTTAATCCATCTTAAACAGACTCAACCAACACTACAGCCCTACATAACCAACCCGCAGTATGGTAGTGCTGAACAACTGAAAAAAAAAAAAAACCAGCACACTTTTTTTCCTTGGCACAGTCTGCAAAAGAGCTGAAAGTTCAGCAGCAAAAAAGCTGGCTAGAAGAAGAAGAACTACTGTTTTTTCCTGAAAATAAAGACCTTGAGATAGGTGCATACTGTGGCGACTACTGCTTAAATTTTATTGCTGAAATGGAAGCAATCACTATACAGACAGTAGAAAACAAGTACTCTGGCGGAATACAAACATCATCAGAAGTTATTGTCTTTACAGACTCACATTCTAATCACTATGCATTGACTAGTAGCACCTCATCTAGCCCAAGAGAAGTGACAACAGTAAGCCTGATAACCCACCATAGAATGTCGCATTTTAATGTCAGCCATATTAAAACGTATTCCTGTTCACATAGGCTTCATGGGAAATGAAAAGGAACAACCGGACCGACCAGTTAATTACCACAGCAATCACAAGAGAAGATTGGCTCAACCAATGGATGCACAGGCCGATCAATTTACAAATAAATGAACACCCCAAACAAACTGGACAGCATCAATTTTCTCCCCCGCAAAGAGCAATGTACAATATTGTAACTAAAACAGAACACACCTTAACAGAAAAAATCCCACACATTCACTCCCTCCGTGGACACTAGTCTCACCCTTTTACAAAACTGTCAGTCATACCCCTTGTGAATGCTCCAATTTAATTACCACAACAGCCCAGCATAATAACCATATATCCCAGTGGCGCTACAGCTCAAGGAGGGCCCTGGCCTGCTTTAGCACATCTCTCCATTCTGATATATCGTGTGCTATCTATCTCCATGCCCGGACTTTTAGCTGTAATAGATCTGCCTCTACGTCAAACCACGTAGGCCTACTCGTGGTCTGCCCTTTTGGCGCCTACCTTTTGGTTTTCATCCGTGGGTGTCACAGAACAATCTTTGCTCCTCTGTTCTCTGGCATTCTTTCGAGGTGCCCAATGTAATCTATTCCTTTCTATTTCTGTCAATATGGATGGGTCTTCATATAGTTGAGATATTTCTTGGTTGGTGCGAATCCTCCATCCGGATTCCTCGTGTATGGCACTATAACTTTTTCTGAGGATGTTTCTTTCCCAAGTATTTAGCAGATTTTCTTTGGTTTTTGTCAGCGCCCAGGTTTTGTAAATGGTTATACTAACCAGTGTATGGATAAACAGAAGTGGAAAAAAGCCTGCTATTTTTCATTGGTGCAGTCTATAAAAGAATTTACAGCTCAAAAGCTAAAAGCCGACCAAGAGAAAGCTGCTTGTACTATATAGACCTTTAGTCTGTTAAGAACATGATTTATTTAAGACTTTTTTGTTTATATCATGTCGAAATTCGTTTTTTCTGCCCGTTTGGGTTTATAGTAAAAGACATTGTGGTATTGAGAGTACAAAACAACAAATTATCGCAATGCTTTCAAATTAAAAAAAAAATGTAGGCCTATTGTAAGGAATGTGGCAGTAGCTGTGAGATATCTACGGGATTGCTTGCGTAGATATGTGTTTATAAACAAGGCTGTGTCTTCGAGCCTAAAGCTTTGGCCGTGATCATACATATTTTAGCAATATAACTAAATCAATATGTATAACTATTGTCTACTGAGGGTGATCAATGTTAATTGTTAATTAGGCTCAAACAAAAATATATACAGCCTTTGTAAGAATGCTCCAGCTATCTTTTTGGGGGGAAAATGTTGTTGCAAGATGGAAGCAATCTAGCCTAATTCTTGAGCTGATATTTAAAGCACTTCTAAATCTAAAGGCACCCCTAGCTGTCATGTCCTTCTAAACAAAGCTCGTCCAGAATTTAAAAAAAAAATCGTCCTGGTCGTGCGGTCGTCGCCCATAGATATGTTGGACAGTAACTATTCCGTCTATAAGAGGCATCGCAGTAGGCCTACAGGTATATCTGGAATCTGAAGTTTCTTCTGGGATGTTATCGGTGCGAGCTTTAATGTATCTACGAGATTGTATATATATAGAGAGATGTTATAGTGTGTCAATAGGCCTATAAGATAGCTGTATGTTAGGGTTTATACATAGCCTAGGCTATTACGTATTTAGCTTAAAAACAACTATAATGTCTAGCTGTGAGGTGGATGTGGAAGTAGGTCTATTGTAAGATGTGAATTACTGGTAGTGGTAGCTGCAAGATGTCAATATGGATTGCAATGACTTCCTTTATTGATTGTATGTAGATATTTAGAAGCCTTGATTTACCTATAGGCCCCTAAGCGTTGAGTTATTCTAACAAGGCACTGACTTATTGACACTTTTTAGGCGTACATTCCATGGCTGAAAAGAGGTAGGCTACTGGAAAGACGTGATATATGAAAATCTCTAGATTCTAGTGATATCTAGATCTAATAATTAAATTACTCATAGAGATAAATGTAATTGCGATTATTCTGGTCGTTAATACCTATGTTTAAACGAGAGTTGTTTTTTTTTAATTGATTACATACTAGAAACTGTTAATTTTTAGATCTTAAAACAATGCTTTTAGCATTTTTAAAAGTACTAAATCTTGACTTGTTTTAAGCATTCCTTCAGAAAAGAAAAGTATTATACGTCCTAGCCCAACCCTCTTGCAGGGCAGCAGAGAGTGTCACTGGGATGGATTCGAACAGGGAGGGGGGGGGGGGGCTGTCGTGACAATAGTTCGAAACTTGATATACCTTTGGTCAGGAAGTCCTTGAATCAATTCCATTATTATTTTATGTAAAAAAAATATTCAAAAAGTAGATCTACAAAACAGATCTAGATGCATCACAATTGAGGAAATCCAAAACAAGATCGCTATGGCGATAGGGCCCCATAATAGATCTAGTACCATATGACCATTGTTAAAAAACGAAAGCTAACCATATCACAATTAAGATCCATTGGGCTCGCAAAGATCTTTCTGCAGGGAGCCGTACTAGACAAAAGAAGGATAGGCATACAAAAGAAGCGATTTGAAGACAACGTCAAGGTTTGGAGAAAGCTATTATAGTCATCAGATCATGTGTGGTGCCCGAGCCGCCATAATAGGCGGTCTGTGGCTACAATGAATTATATATAGTTAAGTGAGCTCGAATACAGAAGATCTTATTGGAAAGAAAGCTTTTTCGTTGTAAAATACAAGGCCAGTAACCGTGTTCCAAACAAAAATGGCTACTATTGCTGTCAGAACGCGAAAAAGCAGAAAATGTATCTATTTTTGTTTTTTTTAAAATTAATATTAGTGTACTAAAAGATATATCATAATATTTAAAAACATATAGTATATTGGGTGATTTCTTTTTAGTGTGTTTAGCATAAAAAAATCAAATGAAATGTTTGTAAACTAAATCAATAATTAAATCATTAAAAAAAGTTTTTCGGATGTTTTGACAGACTTGAGACACACTACAGTTGAAGATAATTATTGTAGACTAGACAAAGATCTAGATCTAGAGTCCTAGCCTGGATACATTGAGACGACCGAATGACAGTCCAGTGTACATACTGCATGACCAGGGAGACCAAAAAAAAGATCTAGTCAATTCTAGTCCTACACTATATACAGTGACCTAGAGTAGATTATTAATGCTAGTAACTATAGTATTTATTAGTATAATAGATAATTTTAGATTCTCTACTCTACTCTAGATCTACAACATATTATTATTATGACGTATTTTTATGTCATATTAATATTGATTACAATTGATATTATTAACAATAAAATTAATATATTAAACATGACATGTAGATCTATATTGTAATATGATTTAGTTTCTATTAGACTCAACTACTGAATGTAGTGTGCTTACTTACTAAAGTTTACTAAACTTCTTAAAATTAAAATAATAATAAAAAATTGTTCTTCTACTTCTAGGTGCCTCTTAGGCCTACGCTTGCACTTGGAAATAACTTGTTGAAATAGATTTTAATTTATTTTGTAAAAATGATTTTAGTGGCCACCATTATAAGACCAATAAGGGGAAAAGTCAGTTTTGATTGTAGACAATTTCATCACAATATTGAATATATAGTCTAATATAGATTAGATGTAGATGTAGCATAATTTTGTTTTGTCAACAAAAATGTTCTTTAAAAAAAAACACTAGAAAGCACATTGAATGCATTGTATCTTAAATAATTTTATTTCAATGGACAGAATTTTGTTGTGGCCAAGATATTATTAGTTAGGATTAGGGTGATGATTATGATTTATTTATGATTGGGCCCTTGAAATGCTTGACCAAAGGAAAACATTTCTGCCAGGCACTAGAAATGAAAGTTAAGACTAAGACTGCTTTATTGATCCTTTCGGAAATTTGTTGTGATTACAAGGACTCTTTTCTCATATAAAGACAACACAACAGAAAAATACACATAGAAGGCTCTTTGCCAAATCCCCTGTGATGGTGAAGCTCAAGTCCAAAGATGCAGTCCTTTTGTATTCTGACACTATGTAGAGCCATTATCTGTAAGAGTTCTATCACAATAGCATGTGAGGTTTATGAGGAATGGCGTGGCAGAAGTTACAAGTTACAAATTTCTCTTCTCTTTTTGGTTACATAAATTAGAAAAACATGCAATGTTCAATGTTAATGCTGCTTGATAATAATCAGCATCTTGTTTATGGGATGTGA